TTTTAGATATATTTATCACTTACCTTTTTCTTTGTCCACTCTAATGACAACCACACACTCATTCCTGCCAATTCTGATGAGTTTGTTTATAGAACGGATACGCCTTCTGGACAACTCACTAAGAAGAATCATGCCTTCAATATTGTTGTATTCCAGCAAGCTGACATAAGCCCCCATTTCAGCAATGGACCTTACATTCACCATCACTACATCTTCCACCTCAGGAAATTTGTGTTGATAAAATCTACAACTTAGACCCGGCATTCTGCATTTTAAACAAAAGAATCAAATGAGTATTAAGGTCAAAATAAAGAAATGTCAATCAATTTTCCACATTTTGCCACTGGAAGAAATGATTAGTCTTATCTCTTTAAACTTCTTAAATGGTACCAGAAAACAGATGGATGTTTGGGAATCAAGCTTTGTTACTTTGCTCCACATTTTTATAAGGCTTGGGTGATTCTCTGACCTCGGTTTTAGAGGAATCATAAAAAATAATGACCATCTATAAAGTACTTTGAGACCTAAGGATTAAAAGTACACCTCAAGAGTAAAATACTATTTTAATACAACCACTTTAAGAAATAACAAATGATGGTAAGCATCACTACTACTATAAACCTATCAGCAAAACTAAAGCTACTCAGTTCTCCAAGTCAGTTAAGACTATATGCTACCACCCACTATATAAAGGGAAGACTCTTCCATCTACTTAAACCATAGTCCTAATCATATATCAAGTAATATACCCTATCCTTTTAGCCAAAATTACAGTATCGTATGTTAAGACAAAACCTAAAAATTTACTAATCACAAAAATATTAAATATAATTAAATACAACTAAATAAATTCGTTTATTGAATAGATATACCCAATCTTGAGAATAGCTTTATAGAACTCCATTACTATAAAGTTCAAGAGACTCTTAAAAACTATTCTCTTTGATCTAACCAACCTACTTTCAGCACCACTCCTTTTATGATCCATAAGACTGAAATCATACCATGCACAGAAGTGTATTTTTAAAAGAAAGCTGTAAAACTAATCACAGCTGATGACTTTCATGTTTTTCTACTAACCTTAATTTACTATTGTCAAGGTTCAGAAAATAGGCAGTAACAGGACCTAAACACCTATGAAAAATGTGTGAAAATTCATTTATTTTTTTAGAGAGAGAAAGACAACGAGCAAGTAGGGCAGAGGGAGAGGGAATCTTAAGCAGGCTCCACACCTAGCCAGAGTCTGGTGTGGGGTTCCATCTCCCAATGCTGAGATCATGACGTAAGCCAAAAATCGAGAGCTGGATGCTTAACCGACTGAGCCACCCGGGCGCCCCAATTTTTTTCTTATTAATTGGGAATTAAGGCTGCCATTACTTGATCTTAAAGACAGGATATCCACATCCAGCTTACAGAACCCGAGAGTTCTGGGGCAGTACTGTTTGAGAACTGTTAACTGTACCCACAAATAACTTCACAGTGGCTTCCCACTGACTTTTACATCTTTCTACTACCTACAGGGTCCTACATGATCTGGCCACTGCCTCTCTCCCTAGTTCTCTCCATTTTATAGTCGAGGAAATAGAAACACAGGCCAAGTAACTTGTTCGGTCATATACTGCTAACAAGTGATAGTCAGAATCTGAACCTCTGAAGCTTGGATCCATAGTCTGTGCTCTTATTCACCATGCTGTATTTTCACTCAATATTACCAATAAATATATTAGTTAGAAACACCTTTTTAAAAAAAGGAACATTAATATACTCAGTGTTAAAGCATATACCGTAGATTAATGCAAGCTTTTAGTACTAATCTATCCTGTTTAACAAAAAGAAATAAAGCAGCATATTAATAATAATGGCAGAAATGCATTTCCCTTGTACCTTGACAAAATAGGGATTTAGGAAATAAAGGGAAGTAGACATTCAATGGCCAGAATTACCCAAGAAACTGCTGAGCTGGTTGGTTCATTCTAAACAGAGCCCCCCCCACCCCCCCTTTGGACAACTGTTGTCAAATATCTGTATGTAAAGCACTAAAGTTTGAGAGCTAGAAGTTTCAAACTGGGTATCAAAGTAAATTATGTCAGAGAAATGTGTGAAACAGTTTTAAAAGATTTAACAGGGGCTAACCACATTTACTTACCAGGTTTATTCAAACAGTAAAGCTGATTAATTCTGGGGAAGCAAGACTTAATTTGATGATTAAAGAACACAGGCAATACTGTAAAAGAATCCTAATGAGAGCTATGAATACTACTGCTTTAAGAGGTACCAATCTCTTCATATTATACAGGGTACAAAAAGAACACAGCTGAAGGTATGTTATTCAACACAGAAAGTAACTATTAAGTACAAAATAGCTCCAGACATGGGTTCCAGCCCTTACTCTTGTATTTACTAGCTGTGGTTGCTTGGGAAATGCATTCCCATTAAACTGTAGTTTCTAGCCTGTGTCATGGACCTCGAAGGTTTGTGGAGTGTATCAAATGAGATTAAAATAGATGTAAAAATTTGGAAAGTGTAGTATGCTATACAAATATGACATTAAAAGGCAAAAGAGGTACTATTTCCATTTTGTAACTTAGTTTGTTAAACAATTATTTTTGCAGTATCTATGTACTAAGCACTACCGGCACTTAAAAGATTCTTACCTAAGGAAGTTAAGTAGGGAGTGGGAAACAAACTAGTGAGTAAGTAACAATTTAAAGTACTATGAAAGGAGTAGAGTGAAATTATCAATTAAAAGGGAACCAAGAGGGGCGCCTGGGTGGCTCAGATGGTTAAGCATCTGCCTTCGGCTCAGGTCATGATCCCAGGGTCCTGGGATTGAGCCCCACATCAGGCTCCTGGCTCGGCAGGGAGTCTGCTTCTCCCTCTCCCCCTGCTCATGCTCTCTATCTCTGTGTCTCAAATGAATAAAAAAAAAAAAAAAAAAAAAAAAACCAGAACCAAAGAACAGAAATATTAAATGACTTTCTCAAGGATAAATGCTTAGTAAGTACTAGAAAAGGAACTAAAACCAAGTCTTCTGATATCAAATCCAGAATACCTTTAACCCACAGAGCCTCAGTATGTCAGAGTACTACAATATGGTATGTGTTCTTCAGTAAAAAAGATCTTTCAAAATATACTAACTGAACTCCAAGCTAATTTCAAATACCCTGCATTGTCAGTAATTTTGCATGGTCAAATGGTAGGTAGGACTTCTTTCTTAAACCAGTGCATGGTCAAGTAACCATAACAGATCCAGGAAGTCCACATTCCTTTCCAAAGTTAAGTGTATTATGTGATAGAGACAACTTGTGAGAATTCTAATTTGGCTCTAATGCTTACCCATAAGGTTCTCTGAATGCTAGTTTTTAGTATTGGAGTGCTACGCAAATAAGCTTTTAAACTATTTCACTGTAGTTGAAATAGCACCAATCTACAAATATTACTGTGTCTTTTCGAGATCTTAAGATAATCATTAACCGTCACTTGGCATCAGAATAGGCAATAAAGCTCTATATAATTCACGAACTATTGAAAGACACATAATCACAAGTTTTTTTCCTTGGTAACTTCAACTGGGAGACAAACCAAGACTTCTCTGCTACACCTTTTCTCCAAGAAACAATGTTTCTTGCTTAATGATAAAGTAGCCTAAGTTTGGGGGATAATAATAGGGGCCTCAGGCTGAATACGTATTTAACCCCCAAATTCCCTTATCTCTTTAGTTATGCTTAACTGTGAGGCCACAGCGTGTAAGTCTATTTTCTCGGTGCTGAAATACGGAAAACCGATACTAAGAGCAGTGAACTCTTCAACAGTATGTTTTAGTATCGATGCAAGAGATAGCTCGTTCTATAAAAATGCGCAACTCGATACGGTAATATGAACGCCAGTTAGAAAAAAATAAATGATCGGACAAATAAACTATTCTTGATCCTTTTAACCCAGCTCTTGTCAAAGCTGCTGCCCACCCCAATGGTCCCTTCAAGCGTCTGGTCTGGTGTCCACTGAGAGGTAGTATATTTGGTGGGGCGGAAGGAAAAAAAAAACCTGGTGGCGGTGGGTTTCTCAAGCCCCGAAAGAGCAAAGTGCTCAGCATCCTGGGGCGGGGGTGTCACAGTGTTTTCCCGAGGCCGCCCCCATTTCAAAGTATCCTCACTTTCAGCATATCGAAGAGGCTGTACGGTCACTCGGCCCACTTTGCTTCACGAGAATCCTCCGCTCGTACCATGACACCGCTGTAACACGGAAGACCCACCCGGCGCCGGCGGGTGGTGTCGGACACTTCCCGCGCAGGAACGGGAAAGGGAGGGGTGTTAGCCCGGGGCCTACCCTCTCCCGACCACCCAAGTCACTGGACACAACTAAAGTGAGTTCTAGAAGAAACCAATCTGGGGGACCAGTCACCTGAGGTATGTGTCTGAATCCCGCGCCGGATCCCGTGCCGAGCTCTTTAATCGCAGAGACCAGACAGCCCACCCACACCAGCGGCTGATCCTCCTCGGCGTGCGCTTGGTTCTACCCCACCGCGCATGCGGAACCACCTCGCATCGCGCAAGCGCCAAGAGAATAGCGGTCCCTCTTCCTCACTGACCATAGAGTCTAGGTCCTCCGAAAAAAAGGAAGACTGTCGATCAAAGGAGAACCTGAAAAGTACGCTTTCTCGATATCTGTCGTTTTCGCTAAGTAACTTTCAAGGCGCAGGGAAGCGGTAATACTCTGAGTCCTTGTCCTTGAAGAATTAATCCTCTCTCGAAATTTCAGTCAACCATGAGGTGGCGCTGTGAACAAAGATGAAAAGTGGAAGAAGAGAAGGAGTGTACTCTTCTCTCCTGTTTTTTTTCCACCCCGCGCGTGCAGAGCCTTGCGCAGCCTCCTGGGAGCTGGAGGGGGAGGGGCTAGGAGGAGAACCGGAAGTGAGGGGCCGTTCAGTGCCGGGTTCGAGGCCTTAACATCCGGGCATCGCCTCATTCTTGTCCTCCCCCCCCACCCTCCCCCCGGGCCAACAGGAAGCGGAAGTGAAGAATGCGTATATACGTACCCCAGCTGCCACTTAGCAACGCGAGGAGGTCAGGTGACACAACCAGCTGACTCCCTTAGAGGAAGACCCTGTGGTTGGGGCAGTTGTAGCCTCGGTTTCCCGGCCGGAGATCCGAGCCAAACTGTCATCGTCAGAATGTCGGGCAAAGACCGAATTGAAATCTTTCCCTCGCGCATGTGAGTAAAAGAACGGGTCCACCAGCATTTCTAGGTTCTTGAACGCCTGTCCCGAGCAGCAGTCCCTGCATACCCTGGACCAGCAGCGAGGTTCCTTGTTTGCTGGGATCTTGAGCTCTCCCCCGTCCCTTTTCGTGAGTCTGGGGCGATGCTCCCTGACGGCTCCCTCACACATTCCTCTGAGGGAACCATACTGGACAGAGCAATCCCAACACGTAGGAACAGGCCACCCGGCCTGCTGGTTTTTACGGAGGACCGCTGACTTTATTCATCAATCGAGTCATTCATCCCGTAGTCCCTTAGTGAGCTGGGTAGTGGTTTTATAGAACTGTGAATCATCGCCAGTTTTGCCTAAGAGCTCACAATTTAACGGAGAGATGGACCAGCTAGCGAGGTCTGATAAATGCTTTGAGAGGGGAAGTTTACTATGGTGAGAAGCACACAGAGAGGCTTCTAGGCCAAATTGGGGGTTGAATCGAATTGCCCTAGCGTGGACGTCAGATTTGATCTTGGATCCCCTTTCTCCTTTTCCAAGATCCCATGAAATGTTACCTGCGGTGGGAAGATACCCCTGAATTTTCGAGGCAGTCCATTTGCTCCATCACCATTGCGCCTCATTCAGACAGACCTCGGTTAATACCACCCATCAAATTGTAAAGTGGATATTTGTTTACATATCTTTCCCACCGAAATGTGAGCTGTCTCCAGGAGGAGAGAGTGTCTTGAGAATTAATCCATAGAAGGTCTACAAAAAAAAGCATAGCGCCTTAAGCGTTGGGCCAGTTTTTATTGTTGTTGTCATTATTATTTTAAGATTTTATTAATCTGACAGAGAGAGAGGGAGAGAGCACAAGCAAGGGGAGCGGCAGGCAGAGGCAGAGGGAGAGGGAGAAGCAGGCTCCCTGCTGATCAGGGAGTCCGATGCGGGGCTCAATCCCAGGACTCTGGGATCATGACCTGAACTGAAGGCAGGTGCTTAACGGATTGAGCCACCCAGCTACCTCTGGCCAGTTTTTAAAGGTTTTGTAGTTTTCTCAAATTTGCCTAACAATGTGTGGAAAGTAAAGATTAGTTATTTGCCCTCTCCTCTTCTACTTCCTCTCTCTCTCTCTCTTTTTTTTCCCCAGTGAGGAGTAGAAAATCAGGTTTGGCTTTGACATTTAGATATTTGATTGTGGTCCTATTTCTTTGGGGATGTTCTGGGTTTTTTTTCTTCATCCTGACTTTTTTCTCAGAGAATCTGAGATTGCCTAAAATAAAAGAATTATTTTTCAAACCCCAGACTTACATTTCTGTCTCTTCCAGGTTGGCTGCAGCTCTTAATGAAATGAAAGGGTTTGGGGTTTTGTTTGCTTATTTTTTACCTTCACCTACTGATTTTTTAGCAGGTGTTTCTATTAGGTGGGAAGCAAGTCAGTTGTGGAGAAAGGCACTGTCTGTAAAATAGATAAGGATTAAGGCTACCAGAACTCCCAGCACTTGACCCAGACTCTAACCAATGTCTGCACTGAAAGACCACCAAACTAGCATGGCCTAAGGCTGTGCTCTTTGAATGACCCTGGCACCCATTAAAATGCCTGCCTGAGAAAGCCCAGTGCTTCCAGGAGAATTTATTGTTTGTTCTATCCAATACCTGATGATTAGGCCCCTTACCTCCCTTTCTTAGGGCATTCACTAAAAATGGCTTACAATTATGAATCCTTTCTTTTATTTTTGAAATATATATATCTCTCCTACAACTTAGAATTGTCATTCTCAAGGATCAGAAAGCCATTTCTTTGAAATGTAGTTATTAGGAAGGATGGACGTCTCCCAGTCTCTGGGAGGATAGAATCCTAACTTCCATGATTGCCAGCTAGCAGACATAGCTGGCCAAGTGTCATTTTCAGTGACCAGCCCTTTGTAATTTTTTGCTTCTGTGACTCTTCTTGAGTCAGCTTTTGCTCCTCTCCCTATTCTTCCTTTAGAATGCCCAACCACTTCTGCACAAGTCAGAATGGAGCTCAGCTTTTTCTGCTACTGTTAGTGGTTACTGAACAAAATCTGTTTTCACCACTTTAATGTCTGGCTGTGTGGTTTTTTTTTTTTAAGATTTTATTTATTTATTTGACAAAGACACAGCGAGAGAGGGAACACAAGCAGGGGCAGAGGGAGAGGGAGAAGCAGGCTTCCCGCTGAGCAGGGAGCTCGATGCGGGGCTCGATCCCAGGACCCTGGGATCATGACCTGAGCTGAAGGCAGACGCTTAACAACTGAGCCACCCAGGCGCCCCGTGGCTGTGTTTATTTTTGATAGTAGTCAGAATGTTAACATTTTTTTTTTTACTTTGAGACTAAGAAGTGAAAATGGACTTCTTTGAGCATAGACAAGAAGACTAATAGGTTTGTAAATTGAAAATTGCTATTTGAGAGCACTCAGCTTGCTGATTGAGAGGAAAATAAGGTGCCGGAAGTTACTGCTTCTCTAAATATTTTCCCCAAGGCTTAGCAGCAGGTATTTTGTCATGTAGTCAGATGTCTTTGATTCAGCTGGAAACAAAGTCATTGTTCTAGCTGAAGGTTGAACTTTTTTCCTAGTGCTGAGCAGCACTAAAACTTATAAAGGAGTCGGTTTTTTAAGAGCTAGGATAGAAAATACTTTAGTGACTTCTGTGTCAGTTCCACCTTACAGTGTTATTCTGTGAAGTGGGGCTGTCTCCCACTTAGGCAGCAGAGAGAACAAAACAAGTTTAGAGTGAAAGCAAAAGAAAAAGAAGCATGAAGGATTTGCAAACAGGAGTCCGTCAAATCCAGGTTCTATGACATACTGGCTGTAAGCCCTTAGGCAAGTCACTCTTCACGTCTCAAGAATTAAAATGTGTTTATTTCACAGAGGTGCCATTAGCTAGGAGGAAATTAAAATTAGCATGGTAAATTCAATTTTATCAACCAGCTCACCTTTTTTACTATATTGAATCTGCAATACTGGGATTTGACTTAAATTTGATCCAAGTCTTTGAGCCCAGATTCTGGTCATTAGTGTTAACAAGATAATATGCTAAATGTACACATTGGAGTGGATAGCTCCAGCTAAGGCTGGAAACTGAACCAGCTTCACTTGGTTAGACCTCCAATGAGGCCAGTCAGTGCAAATTCAACTACTAATAGTAGTTTTCAAAGAGAGGACTGTTCGTCTGATGCTATTTGTAGTAGGCAGTGTGGCATGTGGTTGGGATACAGTGGGCCTAGGTTTGAGTTTAGTTTGAGCCTTGGGCAAGGAACTGGAGTCAGAAATGTGTTTCAATCACTTTTGTTTTTTTTTTCCTAGAATGACTGGGAGAAAGTGTTTCATTTTTCTAAGTCTCATTTTCAAGATAATGTTCAAAGTTTATTCCAGCTATAGAATCGTCTCAGTAACCTTTCCCCTATGGTAAAAGATTTCAGTAAAATCTAAGAATTTACCCAAAGGTCCATTAATACATGCTATTTTGCAGTTGGTTATAACACCGGTCATATGAAATTATATCCCCTTATACAAATCACCTTAAGAATCTACATTATACAATCTATTGTTAAATCATATTTCCTATTTTTTTCTTATTAAATTTTATCTGGCATATGGTAGCAAGAACAGAAATGTCAATTTCTGCTGTTATTTTCTTGACTTTGGTATTGGGGTTTCTAATGGGAAAAGATTGGAATAAGAGGTAAGAAGAGTTCTGTAGTTTGTCACTTTTCAGAAATATGTGTCATTGGTTCCTTGAGTCATTTACAAGTAAATAAAAGTATTGGTAGTAGGATTTTGTCTGATGAAATGAAAATACTTTATTGCCACACTTTTAGTAGAAAAAGTAATTATTGGTTGTGGTATATATTAGAGAAGGTCCAAAAGAGTATTATAAATACAGTAAAAAGTAAATCCATTTTTTCCACTCAGTCCCATTTCCCAAAGGAAACTGTTAGCAGTTTCTGTGAATCTTTTCTAGAAGTATTCTCTGTATCAATATAAGCATATTTATCCCTTACTTTGCATGAGTAAGAGAATATAATATAGATTATATTCTTCTTTTACCTTCCTCTTTTTTATGACTGCATATTGTTCCATTTTATGTGAACCATGATTTATGGAACATTTAGCTGGTTTCCACCCTTTTGCTATTACACACAAGTCTGGAGTACCCATCCTTAACCTTGTATATATTTTTGTGTACATGTGGGAGTAAATCTTTAGGATAAATTCCTCACAGTGGAATTGTTGGTCCTGAAGGTAAGTGCATTTCAAATTTTGATATTTATTAGTGGACAGATTTTTTAAAAATGCTTAATACACCTATAATGGAAACACAGACATTATCTTAACTTGCAAATCAAATAAATATTTTAGCTATGGTGGCATCATAAAGTAGGACTCCTGATAAATTTTATTATGATTTAATAAATAACTTTTCCCAGATATTGGTCAAAGAATTATTTCTGTTTTAAATAAATGAACTTCTTATTTATGGAACACTGAAAATGGAAATCTACAGTATTGAGAAACCAATTAATTATAACTGTCAGCACAGATGCTATATATTCTTATTCTCATGACATCAAAGAGTAAAGCATAATTTTAGTACTATATTGGGGGAAGTATTCTTATGTTTTTTAAACAGTGGGAATAAATATTTTTAATTTTGTTTATATAGGGCACAGACCATCATGAAGGCTCGATTAAAAGGAGCACAGACAGGTCGAAACCTCCTGAAGAAAAAATCTGATGCCTTAACTCTTCGATTTCGACAGATCCTAAAGAAGATAATAGAGGTAGAATGAACTGTACTTAGAACAGTTATTTTAGAGATATTTAAGGAAAATCCAGCATGGCTTTTGGCATTTTAATTTTTAAGTTATTTTAATTAAATTTCTTTCTTTCAGAAGTAGAAATACCATTATGACTGTAACAAGTTTCCGATAATTTAATATAAAATATGGGCTCATTACTCTTGCCTGCCAAGCCCCACTTGATCCGATCTGGCCCCTGCCTGCCACTCTGACCTCATTTGGAGCATTCTCCCTGCCATTTTCCTCCAGGACCTTTTCATTACCTTCATTAGCTGTTTCTTCTGCTTGAAATGTTCTTTCCCAGAACTTATGATTTACTCCTCTGATCATTCTGGTCTCTTCAGAGAAGCCATCCCTGATCACCCAATCTGAAGTGACCACTATATTTACCTCTGTCTTGTTTCCTTATTTTTTTTTTAAAAGATTTATTTATTTGAGAGAGAGAGGGGAGAAAGAGAGCAGGAGCACGGGGAGGGGCAGAGGGAGAGGGTGGAGAGAGAGTCTTAAGCAGATTCCACACTTAGTGTAGAGCCAGACGCGGGGTTCGATCTCACAATGGTGAGATCATGACCTGAGGTGAAACCAAGAGTCTGACGCTTAACTAGTTGCATCACTCAGGCACCCCATGTTTCCTTATTTTTGTCATAGCATGTACTACTGCATATTTTCTTGTTTGATTGGTTGCCCCCACTAGAGAGTGTTAGTTCTGTGAAAGCAGGGACTTAATCCTTTCAGCACTTATTTCCTGTGCCTAGAACAGTGCTGGCACATAGTATGTTTCAATTCAGTGCTTTTTAGGTAAATGGAATGTGAATATGGAAATATTTTAAAAAATGAAGATTATTCCCCTCCTCCTCCCAACTACCTTTCTCATTTCCCAGAGTTCTCTGTGACACTTTGATTTATAGTCTTTCTGTCTGTCTTTCATCATGGATGTTTTTAGTAACATGCAGCTGTTATACATTATATAATTCAATTCCTGCCTATTCCCCCTGGCAGAGTATAGACCACTTTCTACATCGATACATAGATCTGCCTCTTTCTTTATAACAGCTGTGTGGAATGCCATCGAATGGATAATGGAATTTAACCATTTTTCTGTTGATGAATGCATAGTTTTACTATTTAGTGAGGGAGAGTACTCTTCAGTCCTTATGTGTATGTGTAAGAGTACTGACAACACTGACTCCATCTTTGGCCCTCCCTCTTGTTCATGGCTGCACTGTCACCTTCCTCGGGGCTGTGTGTTGTGGGCTCCATGGAGGTTAATGTTTGCCCTGACCAGAATGCGGGAAGGCTTTGTTCTGACCCTCCCTAGAGTGGCGCGCAGGAGGCGCCATTTGAGCTAACTATCCCGTGACCGCCCCCCCAAGCCCCTCGCTCTATGAAAGCAGGGGGTTAGAAGGCCTGCCTGAGAGGAGAAGGGAGAGCCGCCGCCCAGCGGTTGCAGCATGGCTGGACCTCCGTGTGTGCTTGGTGAAGTGCCGGGGAGGGGAGTCGGGAATAGGGCGGGAATCGGAGCAGACTGCAGACCGGAGAAGTGTTGGCTTTGGAAGGGGATGTGTGAGCCACATGTTCCTCCTCTCGGGATGCTGTGTCTGGAGGAACCCCAACAGCAGGAGGGACACTTGGGAATTACGGGCTTGGGAGGGTAGAGAGGGTGAGTGCCAGCCGCTGCACACTGAAGGGAGAACTGTGATGTCTCAGGAGAGTGGGGACCCAGAGGCCTGGGATCCCTGGGGTGATGACTCTGGTGAGGAGGAGGTTGTCCTAGAGGAGGAACATGATATATAGACACGCCCTCTGATTCAAACAGAGCCCCAGGCTACCTGCTTGCCTGAGGATGAGGGAGAAAAAATTCCCACTAGTCAGGGTATGACAGTGAGGGAATGAGTATTCTGCCACTGACTCAGTGGAACAGGTCAGCTGCTTTAGGCAGGGCGGCCGACAAGGGGTGGCAGCATGGGCGTTGCCACGGTGGGATACCGGGAAGAGGGTATCCTCTTGGAGGTTTGGGTTTTATAGAACTGTGAATCATCGCCAGTTTTGCCTAAGAGCTCACAATTTAACGGAGAGATGGACCAGCTAGCGAGGTCTGATAAATGCTTTGAGAGGGGAAGTTTACTATGGTGAGAAGCACACAGAGAGGCTTCTGTAAATAACCAACCCACTATCTCATGAGCTATACTCATTAATAGGGCCGGTCACCTAAGTCGACCCAACCCAACTTCCAACTTCTCAGGCACTTAGTTAACTTGATTGGATAAATGCTAGAATTAAGATAACTTGGCCTAAAAGGGGTATGTTCCTTGATCTCCAGGGAAGAACTACAAGAAATTCTGTGTGAACGGGGAATGAAACCTGCCATTTACACCTAGCATTTTAGAGATCTAGACAAAGAATTACTTTTCTCTTTTGAAGACCTTATATTACAGTCAGCCACGGGGGCATGGTGTGGGACTTAGTATCTGTCCTTGCCCCTATGGTTAATCGGTCCATTGCTACCATGGTGGCTGACGTAAGGGAAACCAAAAGAATCCGCCATAAGGGAAATAGGTTGAAAAACAGGAAAAACAAAGGATTCTCCCAGTGATAAAATTGCAGAAATGGGGCCCATTGAGGTCTCTCAAACAATTATGGCAAGATCTAATTTTATACAGGATCCTGAAAGAAAATTCAGACAACCCAATTTGGTCTTGCTAAGCATTATGGAAGGTAAATACCGACAAGATCCAAGGGCTGGGTTAATCGGTAAAGTTCATGGGCATCATCTGGTCAAGTAAGACAAGTGATGTCAGAGACAGTCATTAGTAAAATGCAAGCCTTCCCAGTCCCTAAAATGGTAGAGGAATTACAGGCTTTTGGTTTATTGGGTTACTGGAGACTTTTTGTTCCCTATCTAGCAATAGAGTAGATATTAAGACTTTTTAAATGCCTTGGTTAGGAGGGTAAGCCGATGGGATTGGGGTGCAAACTGATAAGAGGCTATATTTATTAGAGAGCATGAGAAGGGAGAAGAGGAGCAGAAGGAAAGGGAGAAGCAGACTCCCAGCTGAGCAGGAAGCCTGAGGTCATGGGGCTCCATCCCAGGACCCCAAGATCACAGCCTGAACCAAAGGCAGACGCTTAACTAACTGAGGTGCTCCAATAAGAGGCTATCTTAAGGGCAAAAATGGCAGTAAAACAAGTATGGACCTTGGGGGTATTAATGCCAGGTGTGAGTTGTGAATTAGATGTAAATTTTTATCTAGAAGGGCTTGGCTGGGGCTTGTGGGATCCTGTTAGATTTCTGGTCTCATTTATGGAAGGGAATAGAAACCAGGTGTAGTCTCATGGAAGAACAACTATTGGCTGTGTATCTTGCACTGCAACAGACAGAAGGAATGAGTGCTGATTTGCCTATGATGGCATGAATTAAGGACTTGTTCAGCAAACCTAAGTGTGCCTATGCCCAGGGAAGCACCTTCTAGAAATAACATGCTTACCTACAGTGGAGGAGCACTTGTAAATAACCAACCCACTATCTCATGAGCTATACTCATTAATAGGGCCGGTCACCTAAGTCGACCCAACCCAACTTCCAGGAGTCGCTGACATTGTCCCTCCCTTCCCCTAAGTAAAGGAAGGGAAAGCCTCGCCTCCGGTGGATGCATAGTATACTGATGGCAGTTGCAGGGGAAACCTACCTATTTGGCATTCCTCTGCGATTCGGCTGGATTCTGATGTACTTTGGTTTGAAGAAAAAACTAAACAAAGTAGTCCGTGGGCAGAATTGAGAGTGGTATGGATTATGTTGACCTACGAGCCAGTGCGCATTGATTTGGCTACTGCAGCTGGGCAGTGTTGTAAGGGTTGACAGCATGGATGCTTTGATGGCACAGAGAAGGGTAGGGTATGTTATTTATTGATTTATTTATTTTTAAAAGATTTTATTTATTTATTTGACAGAGACACAGTGAGAGAGGGAACACAAGCAGGGGAAGTGGGAGAGGGAGAAGCAGGCCTCCCGCGGAGTAGGGAGCCCGATGTGGGGTTTGATCCCAGGACCCTGAGATCATGACCTGAGCCGAAGGCAGATGCTTAACGACTGAGCCATCCAGGTGCCCCGGTTGGGGTATACTAAATAGAGCTCTGTGGGGAGTAGAGCCGTGGGAAGGTGTTTGGGAAGTATGCCCTGAGCCTGATGCAGCTGTCCAAGTATGACCTGTGTCCCTGCTCACTCCCCATCCACACTACCAGGCAGTTATGAGGCAAACGCTCTAGGCCACGCACAAGTTCTCCTGGAGGAAATGCTGATTCTGTCTGATGTAGCAGAGTGGGTTCATCGTAAATCGGGACACTGACTGAGGTCCCAGAACTACTCGGCAAATAGTAAAAAGATTATGTTTGCCTTTAAAATATTTCAATCTACAGGGGCGCCTGGGTGACTCAGTCGGTTAAGCGTCTGCCTTCGGCTCAGGTCATGATCCCGGGGTCCTGGGATCGAGTTCTACGTCAGGCTCCCTGCTTGGTGGGAGCCTGCTTCTTCCTCTCCTCCCCACTTGCGCTCTCTGTCACTATCTCTGTCACTGTCTCTCTCTCTCAAATAAACAAAATCTTTAAAAGAAAATAAAATATTTCAGTCTACAAGCTGCTGACAAGGACTGCCTCCAGTACCGCCTCAGGTGATGGTCACCGTGCCATACCCTGGGGTGTATTGGGCGGACTACAAGTTCCTTGGAAATTGACTTGGAATGCCTCCTCCAGGTGGCTTGGTGTCCTAATCCCTTGGGGCAAGGCCTCACATCTGGTATCCTTAACCCTTCATTATATATTGGTCAGGGCCCAGCACATGCAAAGAACTGCTTCTGAACCTCTGACTCTTGGTGTGGAGGTAGGGTTGTCAGTATGGTTGTGTATGTACAACGTAGATACATCCTCTGATGATCTTAAGGAGCAAAATAAATGGTTTCATCTCCCAGGGAAAATACCAAAGCCAGGGATGATATATATTACCTCATGGGGACGAAACCACTACCCTGTTGTTGCTAACTGAAGATTTGCCATATCTATTGCTTGTAAGACATTTCTTACAGCCCATAACCTTGCATTGTTAATGTTTCTGTTGTGTCTGGAAACATCTTGTTACAGGCCACGCTTACACCGAAGTTTACAGTCACTCTAACTGCTGCATCTGTGGAAAGGACCTCTTTACTGGGTTGTTGGGGAACCACAGTTCTAAGTATTCTCTCTGGTCTTAGAAGTATAATCATATTGCTGCTGTGGTACAGGGATGCAGGTCACCTCCCAGTACCTGGCTGTATGGTCCTTGCGGAAGAATGGCGTGAGAAGATGATCCGGGCCGGAAGGATGTCGAGGGTAGAGTGTAGGAGTGCTGACAACACTGCCTCCCGTTTCAGCTCCTCCATCTTGTTCATGCCACACAGGGACTCCGTGGGGCTGTGTGTTCTGGGCCCCATGGAGGTTAATGTTAGCCCTAATTGAAAGGTGGGAAGGGTTGTTCTCATCTTTCCTAAGTGGTGTACCAAGGGTGCCGCTGACGCAGCTAGTAGAGATGGCTGGCGCACAGAGGGTACCACCACGTTACGTAACTACCCTGTGACCTCCCCACCACGCCCCCTCGCTCTATAAAAGTGGTTATGATGCAGACTTGGCAGGGAACGGGGTGGGGAGAGCAGCTGTATAGCTGCCTGGGTTGTTTGTCTTCCCGATCCCTCCCTGTCGGTAGGTTACCTGGAGTAAAACTCTGTGTAAGTAGTATGGAGTGGCTTGTACTGTTTTTCCGACTCAGAGTGCCTTCTCCCTCTGGAGGATACTATACTGTTCCTCCTCCACCTTCTAACAGTGTGTGTGCTAGCATTTCTCTGGAAAGTCTTAGAATCTTCAGGATCTGTCATTTGCATTTTTTTAAAGGTTTTTAAAAAATTTAGTTGAGAGTGAGAGAGCGCATGAGTGGGAGTGGGGGGTTTGGGGCACAGAAGCAGACTCCCCGCTGAGCAGAGAGCCTGATGTGGGACTCGAGCCCAGGACCCTGAGATCGTGACCTGAACCAAAGGCAGATGCTTAACCAAGTGAGCCACCCAGGTGCCCCTATTCATTTAAATTTTGATGGATAATTGCCACATTGTTCTCCAACTTTATAATACTAATTTACATTCCCACCAAATGATTAGTGAGAGGATCTATTCTTTCAGATTCTCCCTAATTGGGTGTCAGTCTTTTTTATTTGTTGCCAATCTATTGAGCTAAAATGGTGTCTTTTATTTTTATTCATTTTTTTAAAAAAGATGTATTTATTTCAGAGAGAGAGTGAGCGAGTGAGCCAAGGGAAGGGTAAAGGGAGAGAGTGAATCCCAAGCAGACTCCATGACGAGCACGGAGCTTGACGCAGGGCTCGATCTCACGACCCTGAAATCATGCCCTGAGCCAAAATCAAGAGTTGGACACTCAACTGACTGAGCCACGCAGATGCCCCTAAAATTAGTATCTTTAATTTGTATTACTTTTGATTGTGAGGTTGAGCATCTTTTCATGTTTATGGGTAATTTGATTTTCTTGGTGAATTTCTTTCTTTTTGTAGGAGTTCTACAAATATTCTAGTTAGTGTGTAAAATACTAAAAATATTTCCCTCTGGCCTTTAACTTTTTTAAAAAAATACTTGGTCAAATCTGTTAGTCTTTTTTTTTTTTTTTTTTAATGTGGCTTTTGGGTTATATATAGTGCTTAGGAAGGCCTAAAAAGATTAAGAAAGTATTCTGTGTTTTATAGTTTTTTTTTTTTAAGTTTTATTTTTAAGAATTTCTGGAGTATGTGATGTAAGGAGATAGGGACAAGCTCATTTTGTAAGTGGGTGGCCATTTGAATGGTCTCTTTATGTTACTAAATTTCCATAGAGACCTGCAGCTCTTTCTGAACTCTATTACATTTCACTGACTTATTTGTCCCCATATTGGATATATTTCCTTATTTTTAATACTTGGCAATTCTGGGTGCCTGGGTGGTTCAGTTGGTTAAGCGACTGCCTTCGGCTCAGGTCATGATCCTGGAGTCCCGGGATCGAGTCCCGCATCAGGCTCCCTGCTCGGCGGGGAGTCTGCCTCTCCCTCTGACCCTCCCCCCTCATGTGCTCTCTTTCTCTCTCTCATTCTCGCTCTCTCAAATAAATAAATAAATAAAATATTAAAAAGAAAAAAAAAATACTTGGCAATTCTGCCTACCTGCCCCAGCTTTTTTTCTTTCAAAAAGATTGTTGGATTTTTTCAAACATTAAATATTCCAGGTTTATATTAGAATCACTATGCCATTAAGATTTTCACTGCACTGCGGTGAATTTGAGAGATTAATTTGAGCACATTAGTATGGACCCATGCAGGAATAAGATAGGTCCTTTAGTAAAGATCACTTTCTATTTCTTAATGTCTTTATTCTGATGTTTTAATTATAAAATATATGGTGTTGCAACACTGTTAGTGACCATAACCAAAACTGTTCAAGCAAAATTGGATATCCATTTTTGTTACCAAGTCAATATTTTAGACACACCTTGTATAAAATACTGGTTATTAAAGGAACATGATATTGATGTTTTTTTCCTTGTACAAAACGAGTTGAATCAGCTGTTGGTTTATGCTTTTCCAGACTAAAATGTTGATGGGTGAAGTGATGAGAGAAGCTGCCTTTTCACTTGCTGAGGCCAAGTTCACAGCAGGGGATTTCAGGTAAGAAGAACTTAATGGGGTGTTTTAAAAAGTCACAGTGCTTTCATGTTCATAATTTCCCTTAAAAGTTACTGTTAATGATAAAACATCTAAGCACTGAAGACAAATGATAGGGTTATATGACCCTAACACCAGTGTCTTTATTATACACACGTGTCTGGTACAGAGTTGTAGGCACAGTATACTTAACATTCTGTAGTCTGTTTTCATTTAACATTGTGTCCTAAACATCTTATTTTCACGTAGCTGTATAACCTTTCTCTAGATGTACATAATTTATTAACTGTTTCTCCTAATGGTGAACTTTTGGGTTGATTTTCAGAGTTTTAGAATATTAGAAAAGATGCCATGAACATTTTCATGCATATATATTTTTGTTTCTGTAGAATTATTTCCTTAGGATAAGTTTGAGAATGGAATTGGTTTAAAGGGCATGAATTCTAAGAGTTTTGTCATATCAAATATGCTTTATATACAAAGCATGTAAAATGGTTTAGTTTTTGCTTTACAGGGGGGTTTTGCCAGTCATGTTGTGTGATTCTCCCCAGATAAGCTTGTGTGGTAAACCAGGCAAACATTGTTATTTTCCCTTTTTTTTTTTTTTAAAAAGATTTTATTTATTTGAGAGAGAGAGAGAGAGAGAGAGAGAGAGCGCGCGCGCGCACATGAGAGGGGGGAGGGTCAGAGGGAGAAGCAGACTCCCTGCCGAGCAGGGAGCCCGATGCCGGACTTGATCCAGGGACTCCAGGATCATGACCTGGGACAAAGGCAGTCGCTTAACCAACTGAGCCACCCAGGCGCCCCTGTTATTTTCCCTTTAAATTCAGTGCCTTCCTGAGGTCAGATGGCTATTTGGGGACAGAGGTGGAAACTGTTTTCAGGATTTTTTATTTTAGTTGTCTTTACCCAGTGATACGATGTCTCCATTCCTAGTTTGTGTTATTCAGGAGCATTAGCTGACAGGTCTTACAACCACAGGGGCTTAAGGCCTCTTGAAGAGATGGACTTTAATTTTTGCCAGTGTTCTAGCAGCAGGAGGGAATCAACAGTATGTAAGTGGTATGTGAATGCGTTTTAGGGTGGTTATGGTGAAAACACTTTATGATAAGAACAGGTTGGGGAGTCAGACAAAACCAGATGGAAATTAGGTTCCGGGGTAAAGGAATTGAACACCTACTTAGCCAAATCTAGAAGGTTTGGACAGCAAACCTAGAAGGAAGGAGTTTTCTTTAAAAAAAAATTTTTTTTTAAAAAGATTTTATTTAATTATTTGACAGAGAGAGAGAGCGAGAGAGGGAGAAGCAGGCCTCCCGCAGAGCAGGGAGCCCGATGCGGGGCTTGATCCCAGGACCCTGGGACCATGACCTGAGCCGAAGGCAGACGCTTAACGACTGAGTCACCCAGGCGCCCCAGGAGTTTTCTCTAAATTACATTGGCTGAATAAAAATCCTTAAAGTCACATCTGTGGCACCACATGCCTGACTGAAAACTCAAGCAGTCTGTGTACTTTAAAATCATTCGTTTTCCTACGGTTCATTCTTTGCTCTCTGAGACCTTCCTCTGGCAGCAGTGATTTTCCTTTTTCTGGAAAGACAATTATCAAAACATACTTGAGCTATCTCACCCTTGTTGAAATTACCTGATGGGTCCCTGTAGTTTTATTTCTCACTCTAAAATCTCAACTAAATCAAGGCCTTTTCTTTTTCTGCAGCACCACAGTTATCCAAAATGTAAATAAAGCCCAAGTGAAGATCCGAGCTAAGAAAGATAATGTAGCAGGTAACTTTTCAACCCTTCAGAATCCTTAGGAAGAAAAGATGACCTTTAAAAATTAACCTGTTTATACGGCAAGATCTTCATGTCCTAATTAATCTCTTCTACTTAGAATAAATTGATTTGTTTTACATGTTAAAATCTTTGTAACTGGTGGTTGCTAGAGGATGGGGGTGGGGGAAATGGGGATAAAGTTACAGTTATACATGAAGAATACTTTATAGAGATTGGCTGTACAATGTAGTGCCTATAGTTAACAATGCAGTGTTGCGTATTTAAAAACTTAGGGTAGATCTTGTGTTGAGTATTAACGTACACACAAGAAAAGGGACACAAATCTTTGGAGGTGATAATGTTTATTACCTTGATTGTGGTGATGGTATCATGGGTGTATATATATATCTAAATTCATCAAAATGTATACATTAAGTATGTGCAATTTTTTTTTTTTTTTGCATTTTACATATACCTCAAAGCTGAATGAAAAATAATTGTAACAGCTTGATCTCTTATTACTCAGGATAATTTGATTATTAAATAGGAATGGACACTTAAGGTACCAGCTTCCTAAATTCATTCATTGAAACCAGTTAAATTCCAGACAGTCTCTTGACTTTTGAGTATTTGCTGAAAAAGAAACACAGGGAACAAGGGTGATCAAGAAACAGTACTTCATGGACATGCTTGTGAATCCACATGTTTGTGTTTAACAGGTGTTACTTTGCCAGTGTTTGAACATTACCATGAAGGAACTGACAGTAAGTGTGACACTTTGGTAGTGTATGTTTCTGCGTTCTCCAGATTCCTCTTTAAATGAACCTTTTCCTGGAAAATTGGTGCTGCATGGACTTTCTTAGAGTTTAGTGGTTCCAGTGTTAGCATCCTTCTTATACGGTACAGTTGGGACAAGAGTTAATCAGTTAATAAAAACATTATAATGTCTTAAAATATTTTATTTCAACCTAGAAATACATAAACAGTCATTTGCTATTAAAAAAATGTGCAAGCCCATGGCCTTTGAGTATGAATCCACTAATTAGACTTCTGTGTTGTCTTTGTGCATAAACTACACCCATAATGCATTGTTTATAATTTCCAGTTTGAGCTTCTATAAAGTAAAATAAGGTCTTAGACTCTGTGATGCAATCTGAATGCTAAATCTTCCTAGATTTTATAGCTCATTCTCAATTTTTTACAATTGTCTTAGCGTTTCCTAATTTGATAGCATTTGGGTAGTAACACATCTTTATGGAGTCTTTCCAAAGTAATCAACTTTTTTTCATAGAAACAATAGTTTTTGGCGCTCGTCTTCCACTGGTTCACAGAGAGTGTTTACTGTAGCTCAGATGAAGAAGTGGAGCAAGCTAGGGAGCCCCCCTCTAGGGAACGGTACTGTACTGTGGGCGTCAGGCTGTGTCACGCCCAAGGCAGTGGGGCCCAGTGGTTAAAAGCTTCTCCTATAGTTATATTTAGAATAGTTTCCTTGGGAAGAAAAACATGATCACTGTTACTCTTAACTGTAGAGAACAAACTGATGGTTACGGGAGGGGGTGGGGGGGCAGGGGTGAAATAGGCAATAGGGAGTGAGGAGCGCGCTTGTGAGAGCACCAGGTATTGCGTGGAAGTGTTAAATCACTATTCCGAACACCTAAAACTAATATTACACTGTATTTTAGCTGGACTTTCAATAAAAACTAAAAAAACCCAAATGCTTAAAACCTCACATCGGAAAAACCAAACATACTGACTGTGCAGCCTAGCCTGGTGTCAGTGAATTCGTTTCTCCTTGTTTGGTATTAGTCTGACTTCTTTTGGGGAAATTTGTGGGGAAGGTTATTTACCCGGTAATGACAGATGTTGCCTGACTGGTTCTTTCAGGTTATGAACTGACTGGGTTAGCCCGAGGTGGCGAGCAGTTGGCGAAATTAAAGAGGAACTACGCCAAAGCAGTGGAGTTACTGGTGGAACTAGCTTCGCTTCAGGTAAGCGCAGCAGCCGGAGAGCCCCTGCCGCGCGTGGGTACCTGAGGGTCCTTTCTCTGAGAGGGTCCCGCGCTTAGGGCTTTAGGCTGTTCCCGGGATTTTATGGGACACGAACCAGAGACATTGTGATTTCTGAAATGGTGGTTTCCGCACCAGCGTCCCTACTGATGACTAACGAAACGTGTGCGCATCGGTAGACTTGTACTCTTTGGTAGGTGAGAACGGCAGCGGTCAATACCAGATTTAACTGCAAATATAACAGTTTATGCATGAAAGCTATTTTTTCCCCTTTGTGGCCAGTTCATGTATATAATATGTCATCGTGCCTGATTCTCTCCCCTTGCCATTTTTATAACTTTAGGCGAATCTGAAGTAAACTCATTATAATAGCCTGGAAATAGTGTTCTATGGAAATTGTTGAAATGTAGCCTTGGTTTCCAAACCAAGCAGTCTGCTTAAAGCCAGAAAGGACACGATTAGGAAAACTTCATGCTTAAGTTATTAATTTGTCCTCTTATTTTAGACCTCCTTTGTCACTTTGGATGAAGCCATTAAGATAACCAACAGGCGTGTCAATGCCATTGAACACGGTGAGTGTGTGCTGTTGTGAGGCTCTTTGTTCGTCCCTTGTCCACAGCTCCACGTTTGCATGGGATCCAGGCACCGACCGCAAGGGGAGTAAGACCTTGCCCCATCCCCAGTGGGCAGGGCAGCGTGGGGCAGCCGCACGGGAAGGGGTTAGTAGTAAGTGCTTTAAAGAGTTGTGTGACCCCCCCAAGTCCATATACATAAGGGAATGGTTAAGTTAAAAATTCTGAAGTGTTTAGTTCATTTCTGGTCATGAATAAAGGACAAAACTATTTTTTTTTTTTTAAAGATTTTATTATTTTGACAGAGAGCGACACAGCGAGAGAGGGAACATAAGCAGGGGGAGTGGGAGAGGGAGAAGCAGGCTTCCCGCCGAGCAGGGAGCCCAGTGTGGGGCTCGATCCCAGGACCCTGGGATCATGACCTGAGCCGAAGGCAGACGCTTAACGACTGAGCCACCCAGGCGCTCCACAAAACTAATTTTTAAAAGCCCTAGTGTTTTCTTTAGTTCTTTCCAGTGATTCAGTGATCTTTTTAAACACATTAAGTATTTAACTTTAAATCCCTTTCCTGTAGGCTTTATGTCCTGCTCTTCTCCTTGATTCCTAAACATTTTCCCATTTGATGCATTTATTTTCCATCTCTTATTATTCTGTAACTGTGCTTAGTGTTGGCACGATACTTTCCGTTAAAGAAACTCTATTTTCATTAAAGAAATACTCAATTTTAAGGTAAGAAAGGAACAGATTTTGAACAGCAAAGAAGTTATTTTGCACTCTCAGTGTTAAAGAGGAAGTTACCTCATTTTTAAAAACTCAACACACACTTCCTGACCAGTTGCTAGTGCCAGACCTTGTAAGTGGAACTGCAAGCAAAACAGAGTGGGTAAGGTGATATTTCCAGCACCCAACGAGTTCACATTTTATTTAATTTCTTTCTTTTTAAAGATTTTATTTATTTGACAGAGAGCGAGTGAGAGAGAGAGAGCACAAGCAGGGGGACTGGGAGAGGGAGAAGCAGGTTCCCTGCTGAGCAGGGAGCCCGATGTGGGGCTGGATCCCAGGACCCTGGGATCATGACCTGAGCCGAAGGCAGACGCTTAACGACTGAGCCACCCAGGCGCCCCCTACGAGTTCACATTTTAGAAGCAGATAGGCAAATTCTCTGTAAAGCAGCACCTTATGACTAACCTAAAACTCAACTTAGTGCATGCTCTCTGCTTGATCTGCTTTTTAACAGGGATTGTGATTATATTTAAAATAACATCTGTGGTTCAGTGTTGTATATTCATATAAATTCAGTATGTTCAGTGTTTTGTGTATTGTGGTCCACAGAATTGTGTTGTATATATTGTGTATATTATCTGTCCATAGAAAGGACACTAGAAGGGCATATACCGAAATATTTACAGTAGTTATTTTAGGGTAGTTGGATTATACTTACTTTTATTTTTTGTTTTTGTTTCCTAAGGTTTCTGCATTAAATGTAGATTAATTTTACAATTAGAAAATGTTACACAAATGAACACTGGCAATTTGAAAAAAGGTCTGAAGTTCTCATATGTGTATTTTTTTAAACCCTAGTCATCATTCCCCGGATTGAACGTACCCTTGCTTATATCATCACAGAGCTGGATGAGAGAGAGCGAGAAGAGTTCTATAGGTTTGTTGGAATTGGCAATTATTGATCCTTTTTTGTTTTTCCTATTCCAAAGGCTCAGTTTGCTGAGAGACTGTTGGCTTACGTTCTTTAGAATTAGCACAGCCTTCATTTTTTTTTTTTTTTTTTTTAAAGATTCCATCTATTTGACAGAGAGAGACACAGCGAGAGAGGGAACACAAGCAGGGGGAGTGGGACAGGGAGAAGCAGGCTTCCCGCTGAGCAGGGAGCCCGATGCGGGGCTCGATCCCAGGACCCTGGGATCATGACCTGAGCCGAAGGCAGACGCTTAACGACTGAGCCACCCAGGCACCCCGCCTTCATTTTATTCTGATAAATGAGAAGCAAGACATAATATGGGCGAAGGCTCTGGAGACCAATCTATGCCAAGTTTTGCATATATTTAAAATATGGCATCTCCAAAAAGTTAGGCCCTTAGGAGAAACTATTCACAGACTTGATTCTTTAAAATGAAATAATAATTTAGATCAGGTGTCTGCCTCATAAAAAGAAACTGGAATTAATCAACAACTATGTATTGCATGGTGAACATGTTCCAGGAGAAAGTATAAAGTACTTGGGGGCATTATGTAATAATATAAATCATACCATTCGAGAATTAGCACAGTCTTCAGAGAAGTGAGGCATGTACATGAATTGGTTATGAACAACTGGAGCTGGTAGGGACAACAGATACTAAAAAGGTAGTATACAGAGGTCAGTGTGTCAGGTTCAGAGATGGTGGGAGACAGGTGAAGGCCTGTGTTCAGGGAAGACGTGGCCATCTATGATTTATAATCTTAATTATAAAAGGTTATTGTGTTTCTGTCCTTCAGTGACATTCAGGATTGTGGTGATCCAAACTGATTCAAAATTTTAATAAATGTCTGATGCTTGAAAGGTGTTCCATTATCAAGGGATGGATTTCAAGGTTTGAGTCTGGGATAGGAACTTTTTAAAAAAAATTTACTGCTAAGAGTATCAGTCACATTCTTATGCTCAGATTGGCACATGGGATTGTCTTCTAAAAAGAGCTTTCTCTGCAGACATGTAGGACGTGGATAGTCTCCCTTCCCCCCACCCCTTCAAAGTCCATTATCAGCTTAAAATGTGTATATCCTACCTCAAATCTTTATTTTAAAAATGGATTATATAGATCACTGAAATTGAAATAAAAGTAAAATTTTGTTCTAGTTTGTAGGTGTTTATGATCCTTGTTACAAAACTAGCAGAGGTCAGATATACTTAGAACTGAAACAGTGTTCAGAAAATTCCCTCCTTTTGTTTTACAGATTAAAGAAAATACAGGAGAAGAAAAAGATCCTTAAGGAAAAATCTGAGAAGGACTTGGAGCAACGGAGGGCAGCTGGTGAGGTGATGGAGCCTGCTAATCTTTTGGCTGAAGAGAAGGATGAGGATCTTCTGTTTGAATAATCTTTCCCGCTCTGGTTCTTTCATAAGCTCTAACATGGCACCATTTTAATTCACGGTGTGTAGGTTTGGTATGTGTGGCTATTTATTTTTTGGCCTAAGAATTTCACTGGTGGTAAAATTTCCCTGGATGTTGGTTATGGGACTACCTTTGCACAATCCTAATTCAACAACCATTTATCACATGAGATTTGTAGCCCCTACCCAGGAACCTGTAGAATTTATTCAGCAGAAGCAGTACCCTGCTCCTTGTACATTTGTTCAAGTGATCTGCTTACCAAGCATATTAGGAAATCCCCCTTAGGAAGCAGCCGTGGCCTCACGCCAGCTATGGCTGTGGCCGCCTGTGTTCCCACCTACACCGACACCGTGGCACTGCTGTCTGAGATCGCTGCGGCCATCCTTGGGACCCTGGTACTTCTCTCCAGCTTTATGAAACCTTCAGTTTGCCTTGCATGACAGGTCTCTGTCCTGTCTGTCATGAGAGTTCTGCCAATTTTAATGTGATTATGGTATAAACAGTAAAATGATTTAAAAGTGAATTGTTCCTTTTTTTTTTTTTTAATTTACTATCAGTCACGTTCTTATCCTCAGATTGGCACATGGGTTAGAGCTTCCTCTGCAGACATGGAGGACATGGAGAGTCTCCTCCTTCCCCCTGCCCCTTCATAGTACGTGTTTTCCTGATAAGCTTACTGGGATGATTGTTGAATTTTGGGGTATTCATAAACATGCCAGTGAGTTAAGAGGGGTTATTAATACTTTCTTTCCTAATCTAAGAAAAAAAAATTCTCATCTGAGAGTAAGTAATAAGGTAACTTTTTATAAGCAGTAACACTTGCTGTCTTCCATTAAATAGGAAGATGAGGCATTTGAGTGGCCATATCAGGAGCTGACTGAGGTTTTTTCGTGCTGTTTGATTTGGTGAGCCATCCATGTTTACTCAGGCTTTCTTGTACCCAGTCCTGGGCATTTCTGAGGTGACTGGCTATGGAACAGTTTTGGGTAAAATTGTTAACACTTGGCTTATGAGTACTGTATTTAAGTCAATTGATATCGTAAGCATAGGCTTTTTAAAGTACCAAGTAATTTTGCGAACATTTAATACCTGCTGCAGAATAATCTTAGTTATGTGCCAGGCCCTGCTTCAAGTGTTTTATTTATATTATCACAACAACCATAAGATATACTTGTTATTTTAATCCCACATTTCACAGAAGAAAACTTTAAGGCCCAAGGAGCTGGAGTAATTGGTCCTAGGTCAAAAAGCTAGAAAGTGGTGAATCTGGGATTTAAATCCAGGCAGTCTACCTTCAGTGTTTTTATACCCTTCTAACCTTTCTTGCCTCCCCTATATTTAAAACTTTGGGTAAAGGTAAGATCTAAGGCCTGTCCTGGAGGAGCTGAGTTTTGGCAAACCCTGTTTTGAATCGGAGGTTTTATTCTGTAAGTAACTTCAGTAGTGATTGGAAAACCAACAGGTGAGTTCCTAAGCAGTTCAATGTTACCTATTCTCAAGGCTTAATATTTAATCCTCCCAACACCGGAGTGAGGTGTAAGTACTGTTCTCTCCATTTTACAGATGAGGAAACTGAGGCTTTGACAGGTCAGACAGCAGAGCTAGGATGCAGGCCTTGGTTCTTAAGCAGTATGTTCTGCCTCTCTAGGAGGCAAAAAATAGCTCGAAGGGTATGAGAGCCCAGATTACTTAATGGTTTTTCACTTAGGTAAATTCAGTGTTCACCTTCACCCGCCGAGGCCAGAGAAGCATCTAGATTTCTCCTGTGGCTTCTTAAAGCTCTTTTTTATTGGCCTCGGCTAAACTCCCTACAAAACTGCGATGAATTTATGGTTTTAGCATATCGTTAACTTAGAAATCAGAAGAAAATTGTAAACCAAATTTGTTGCGTGGGGTGATGTGATCCATAGGGGAAGGGAATGATCATGAATAGAAAGCCAGATGTGTGTGTACGTGTGACCCTTTTTGTTGGTATGATTGCCTCCTTTGGGAGATCTAGAGTGGTACAGTAGAAAAGTGAATGTTATGTATTTGTCAACTCACATCCCTAGCCTTTGTCCCCGCAAATCCTTGGCTGCATATAAGTGGAATTTGCCCAAGTATTACATACGTTTTTTCCTAGAAGATGTTTAAGTTCCCAGTGTTACGCTATCTTTAATAAAACGTTTTTAAAACAAGGAAACAGAACCTATGTCTGTGCCAATAGGGGGCACTCCCCCACCATGAAGAATAAATTAAAAGGTATTTTATGTTTCACGCAGAGGTTCCAGTGGACTTATTTCTGGCAAAAACTTGCAGACCAAGTGGTTAGGTGAGTTGAAACCTTGACTAGCAGAGGATGTAAACACAGAACGTACTCAATGGTTTTATTTGAAATATAATTTTACTTTGTTTTTACAATACAGTGTGCAGTATGACAACTCAAAATAGAGTGCAGATACAAGATACGAGTACAAAGGAGGATTAACAATAAATGTCAGAAAGGTTACCTTTTATTAAGGCTAAATCCCTGGTTTATAGTTTCCATACACATTCACAAATCTACATTCAAATTATTCCTTATCAATACTTATTCCTTAGGCCATGAGAAAAGGAGAAAGAAAATCCAGATACTACATTTCTCACACAAAGCAAATCTGGATTAGTCTAAATACTATTCTTTTCCATTTGTTCTGATTTAGGAAAATTTAGCAAAGGAAGGTATTTCCTTATTTGAACTACCCGTGCATTTTATTAGCTATTGCTATCATTCCTGTAAGTGGTTAAGACCTCCCCCACACTGGGGTCTCCAGTCAGAGCCGCAAAGGACAGGAAATGCAACTGGCCAGAGCGGCTGGACAACTGGGTGTATAGCAAGGCTTTTTTTTTTTTTTTTAAGGAGGTCAACAACTAAGTTTTCACTTTGTTTAGGGACTGTGTTGAATATCAACACATCCATGTCACTGAGATGGAGAAAAGTTTGGGACATAAACATCTGTCCCTCTCCCATTGCTGATAAGGAGAGAACTGTAGGATTTCACTGACCCCCCAAATCTCTTGTCAGCTAAGAGTATACTATGACATGGCATGTGCCTGTGAAAGCACATGGCCCTCGTGTGGCTCTACGGTCTGCAGGGTAACTCAGGAACCAGCACAACAGCTACTTCAGCCGCCAACCTTTTAGATCTTAGGGCCAAAAACAGCTGTCCGTTATGAAAAGCAGCTCATAAAACTCCATTGTCTACCATAGACTACCTTTCATTCCTTAAGAGAAAGTAAACTGGAAAACTGAAAAGATTAAGTGCCAATATTCCTTGGTTTTCTGTCCTAAACTGGAGTGTTTCAGATCTGAAAAGATAGTATGGCATTCCTTCCCCTGACCCAGGAATGTTACTTTCTTCCTAAGGAACGGTTATCTTGAAAGTACTTCCATATAAGACACATTGCAGCCGACTTCAAGGCCATGCAGATTTGAACAGAAAAGGCAACGTAACTATCTACATTTGTTCAAGTAAAATTACATAGAAATCAAATATATACACAACAACGAGACAAACTACTCATTTACAACCATTGCTTATGTTAAATTAAATGACAACTCCATGTTATTCCAGTGTTTAGCTTTGGGAACAGGTAATGCTGTAGCTAAAGTCATAAAAATAAAATCAAGACATTCACATTTGAGGTCGTTTGACACACATCACGCCATCCCTAAAGACTTGAAAAGACTACAAATTAACTTTCCATGCCAATTGCAGAAGCTGAATTTTATAGCTACAGCTATAGAGACAGTATGAAAACCCCATTAGCTTAAACATTTATGATTTAGCAAGCCATTGCATTCTGGTCGCTAAGAGGCAGAACTTGATAGGATAAAAACCTGCTTCTGTATGCTTAACTCCCCCCTCACCCCCATGTTCTTTTCCTATAACGTTCAAATGACTTTCAGGTCATCCTTTCCTTGTGATCTCAAAGTCAGTTGTTACAGTATTTCCCCTTGGATATAATTTTATTCCAATGCTGAATGAGTGTTACCAATGACCATTTGTCACCTATTAAATATTAGTATACAGTACAGCAGCTATATTTATCCCAGAATTCCAGTTTATTACTTATATGTGGCACAGTCATCAAATTATACTGTGCTCACATATAAAAATGCAAAACTGTCAAATGTGCTATGTCCTCTCATGTATATGAAAAACGATTTGCATCATGAGGAAAAAACAGTTTATATGACCATCTGCCATTCATGAAAGTGTGACTTATACATTCTATTGTACTATGCAGATCAGAGAAGGAAGCAAGGTTATAGAATCACTTGTGATAATTTAAGCAAAAACTTCAGAAAATCATTAAAAAAATCAGCATATGCTATATATATTTAACTAGATCAGAATCTGTTGTGTGTGCAGTGAAATCTGATCCACAAAGTCTGAGCTAAAAAACTGGTGTTTCTAACGGAATGTTTTAGAATTAAAAGACACACAAATGAATTCAAGCCTAACAGAGTAGCTTGAGACCAAAGTGGTGCCATTTTTTTTTTTTACATTTTAGGAAAATATTTCTGATGACAAAACCAGCCTTCTAACCAAATACTGTCCTGCCCAGTACACAGAAGCACAGCTCCCCCCACCCGGCCCCGCCATGAAGTCCTTTAAGTTAACTGTTAAATAGCATCAATATTTATAACTATGTGAGACATGGACCGTTGTGTATATATAGACAAGTTTTTTCATGGAAATAGGACCAGGCAGAAAAGATTTAGGTGAAAACAGAATTAAAAGGTTTTTACAGGGATAAAATGGAACTGGTCTGTTGAAAGCTTCCACTTAGAATCCCCAGAGGAGGCAAGAACCTCTAAAGCCACGTACAGAGAATAAAGACTGCTATGCACAAATTGCCTAAGGGAATTTTCTCACTAGTTTGAGATCAAAGAACAGGTCTACAGCTTATTTGGCCTGTCACCTCAGGGTCTTGCTGAAGCATCAGGGCTCTCTTCCTAGTGGCAGTTTGCCAGATCAAGTCCAATCATATCATAGAATGGATGTTTCCCTCACCTCAGCCAAGTGGATGGCACCCACTGAGGTTCAGTATCAAGTTTGTTAATTAACCTAAGCAGTTCCTGATAGGCTTTATCAAGATCTGAATTCACAATTGCTGTGTCAAAGTAGTGGCCATTGTTCTGTTCCATCTCTCTAGTCTTCTCAATGATCTCTCTCAACTCTTCAGGCTGGAAAAAGACAAAAACTGAGGTAATTCCACTCCTTACCAAAATACACAATGAGTCAGAGATGACTGAAGAACAAAAAAATGGCCTTCTATTGTTTGCTGTCTTTCAAAATATGCCACTTCAGGAGCTCCTCTTCAACCCGGTGATGGCCTCAGTGATTATCATCCTTTGCTCTGGTGTCTTCAGGACTCATACGGAATTCATTTGGGACTCAATATAACCTGTTTATACTGCTACTCAGGTTTTCATGTATTTCTGTTTTACTCACTAGAGGCTTCAAGGCAAAGAATGTTACTTAGAATTCCCTACAAACATTTGTTTTCAAGCATTTTAGAACATCATAACCTTTCCCTAAAAAATAACATCTTTTGTAATACAGAGTGAAACTTTCAGGTTGAAGCAAGGTTGGTAGGACCCCAAATGCCATCTACTCTTGGCTTTATAAAGATCTGCTGTCCTTTAGATCTATTACAGAGTTAAGCAGGGTAAACATTATGGGAAAAGAAAAGGATCAATAGAATGGGTATCTTTATGAAAACACTGCCGGTCAACCCAAGATTTAATAATCTAATGTTCTGGGGGAATTAACTTGGCTTTAAACTGCTTCTCTGTTTTCAGTACACCAAGTAGGTTTTAGAGATGCAAAAAAAGTATTCTAAGAAGAGTTTGGGAAATGATACAGAGCAGGCTACTTTAAAACACTGGTAAAGGAAACAGCTGTTTCACACAGATGAACAAGTAGTAAGGTAGGGTGTGAAACTTACACAGAATCCCGATTACCAGGCACATGTGTTCAAGAAAGTAAAACTGCCCCCAAATGACCCATCAATGAAGAGGACTAACTCAAGTCCAAATGTCTCCGATATAAAAGTCACACACCAATACTATATTGGACCCACAATACAAAACAACTTATTCAGCTGGTTGAACTTCTTTAACAGTAGGAAAACATTAAAAATACGACAGCTCCGGCCTGTCCTGAGGCAGTTTCTTGTGTGGCTCTCTAATTTTCATTCTGGAATGTTGTGCATCTGGCTGTGGTACACAGAATCCTTTGTTTCCTAGGGGACTCGCCTACACCATTATAACTGAACACACTGTAACATTCTTGCTAAAACTTAGGTCTCATATCTTAAGACTATTGAAAGAACATTCCAGAAGTCAAAACAATCTAAACTTTGTGGTGCTAGAATTGAAATGTAAAGCCCTACATCTCATATAGATTCACATAAAGAACCAATCCACCTAGTTTTTATCAAATTTAAGGCATTATTTTGTCTTTGGCCAAAACGGCTTATACCATTTATTTTAATTTAGGTTTTAATTTCATCCTATTTTTCAAATTACAATTCATGACTAAGATGAAACAAAATGTTTTTGCTCAAAAAGTTCTGGACTGAAAAAACTGGCCTGTAGGCAAAATTGGCTGTAACAGTTCATACTACCAGTTTACCACTCTCAGGCCCCCATTCTAGCAGAGAGATTCAGAGTACAATCAGACTGATTATTTACATTCTGCATCCAGTGAGAACACCATCACTTTCCTGATTAGCACAGAGTTAAAACTGAGGACTTGTTTTTATTCAACACTTCCATGTATGATAAAAAGCACTACTGGAAATACCAAAGGAGAGGAAACATAAGTGGAATAAAAAGGCAGTAAGATACACCAGCCTCTACACATTCTCACCAGTGTGCATGGAACATGCACCCAGACAGAACTGATGTTGGGTCATAAAATAAGGCTGAAAACATTTCTGAAAGATTCACATCTTTATAGGCTATGTTGTCTGACCACAGTGGAATTATAAATCAGTAAAATATTTTTTAATCTCCCAATATGTGGAAGTTACATACTTCTAAATAACCCATCTGTTCAAGAAGAAAATGACAAACATGAGAAGAGACATGAGAAAAATGAGAAAAAAACAATGTCAAAATTTGTAGGATGCAACTAAAGAACTGCTTGGACGGAAATTTATAACTTCATTTTAGAAAAGAAGAGGGGCGCCTGGGTGGCTCACAGTCGTTTAAGTGTCTGCCT